TATAGGCTTTGAAATCCTTCTTTGGAATTACTGATTCCATCTTAACTTCTTTTCTTCTACTAAGAGTGAAGTAGACTCTTTTCTTCTTGAGGTACTTATATGTACCCTTAATGATTATGGTTTTAAGTTTTTGCCAGACCTTTTTGAGTTCTTGAGAGCTGTTCTCAATTTCATGTCAGGAAACCTGTATATCCATTTCTGAAAATTTGTATTCTATCCAAAGTTTGAATTTCTTCCATTGTTCCACAGTAAAGTTACCTGAATCTGATATTTTTTTACCTTTATTTTATCTTACTCTTGTATCTGGTTTTTAAGTAAATTGTTTATTGTCATTTTTGTTAATAGCAAGATATAATCACTACCCAGTAGTATCTCCATTAAAATATTTTTGAACTTGTATATATTGTTTAGGCTAATTTCTGGTGATATTCAGATATAATCAATTCTACTGTGTACTGAGTTATTTGCCCATGTGAAGGTGATATTTTCTTCTTCTTCCCAGGAGTTTTGGATATCTATATTCTAGGAAGTTGAAGGAACCTATTTTTGCTTTTCTGTATCTTAGGATTGTTTTGTTTGTAGGTAGTAATCAATCCACTATTGAGTTGACAATTACATTAAAGTCATTCATGATTATGATTTTAAAGTGATTTCTTTGCTTATTTAGAACCTTGTTTTTAAGTAGCTGTTGTAACCATCTACTTTCAACTTTCTCAGATGGCAAATACATTTGGTAAATACAGAGTTTGCTCATTGTTGATAGGAAGTTAGCTTCTATTATATATCCTTCTATACTTTATATTGATTCTAGCTTTTTCTCAATATTTTTTCTAATGAGAAACCCTACTTCAGACCCTCTGGGTTTTTCATTATTACAACTGTGAAAGAATTTATGCATTTGCTGTAGGTTAAAAGTGAAGTCTGCTATTTCTTCGGTTAGTTTAGTTTCATAAATTCCTAGTATATCTATATCAAGATCTTATATGAGTCTAAATAGTCTTTATTGCTCAAGACTAATATTAATATCTCTAATATTATATGTTCTGATAATAATAGTATTGTCTAATGTGGAGTTGTCGATGATATAGTTCTTATACAGTATTTGTTCTTTGTCTAGTTTATTAATAGTATTCTTTTTAATTGTATTGATAAACTCATTTAGTGGTGTAGTGTGTGTTGTGCAGGAAAGAATTGTATTAGTTTTTATTATTGTTTCTATAGTCTCTTTTTTCTTTCAGAATGAGCTTGATTCTTTTTGAGAGTCAAACTCTCTTTTGATGTACCTTGATTAGACTGGTACTTTTTAGGAGTGATTATTCTATCATCTTCCTCTTACCCTATTCTGGTTACCTGTTTTCTCCTCGATTATATTTATTCTAGTGTTTAATCGCTTAAGATAATTTAGGATATAGCACAGAAGATCTTGATCACTTTCACTTTCTGAATAAGAGCTTTGCAACCTATTATACAAACTTCTTTTTCTGTTACAGTAATTGATTGGCTCTATATTACTACCAGTAATGAAGCATCTAGGAGTGTTTGATATCCTAACCATGTATTGACTACCTTGAAAATTGTGTCTTTTTCCTTTTGCCTTTTTTCCCAGGTCTGTCCTTTTCTTAAAATTGCTTTCAGTTTTTGAATCATCCTCAGATATTGTAGGCCAGTTTGTTCTATTGTTGCTTCAGATGTTAGTTTGATCTAGTTGTCTTAAGCTCAGTTCAATATGTGTTGTTTCAGGATAAACTTTCTCTTTGTTACAATTACTACTCTCTGTTTTGATCACTTTTTTGTCATACATTGTGTCCTTCTTGAAGTGCTCTTTGCATTTCAGTTGAGTTTGTAACCATGTATAGATATATATTATCTCAGGGCCTTCTGTAAATCTTCTACTGCTATGAAACAGACTACTGCATATCCTCTTCTTTTCAAAGTAAAAGTGTTTTTTGATATGTAATATACTTTGATTCCTGCATACTGCATTGCCCTTACTATAAGACTTGTAAAGATATTGTATATACCATACAGTCATAAGAATTGGATGTTATGGTTTTTGAGAATGGTATCGACTTTATGATCATCAGGTTCATATTAAGTGAAAATTGTTCTAAAGGTATCTACTTTGACTATCCTTCAAGTCTTATTGATTTGAAATGAGTCATGCTTTGATTCTTCTTTGAGAGTGAGAGTGATTGTAAATATGGATATTCGAAACCTTTTTATATTTTTGTAAGGCAGTCTTGATTTCTTGATGAGTATGCTATGGTCAAGATCTATCGATGTGACAACTACTGTCTTGTTTTCTTCTTTTGCTATCTTTTGTTTAAAGAATTTCTTTTCTGATAGTGAATATGAAGTTTTCTATTTCTCTACCTATATAGGTATCAAGGTAAAGTTTTTTTCTTTTTTCTTGTTAATCTTCTCTATATATTGTAAGGCATCTTCCATTTCCTCAAAAATGAAAGTTGTCCAGGCATTATCATTGAGGAAGTTTTTTTTTAATGATAGCATATTTTTAGATAGACTCAAGTCACCTTGGAGATAAGTTAAATGTTTTTTTTCTCTCCTGATATTCTGGAAGTGAGGATTTCAACCTTGAATTCTCTTTTCTTGGTAATATGAAATGAATTTAAACTGGATGGCTTGGATCTGTTTTGTGTGTTGTAGAAGATTTGTTCTACTATGTTTTTTCCTTCAACTCTTTCTTGGATGTTTACCATTTCAAGTTCTTTCTTCAGCTCTTTCTCCATATCTTTATCCCACATTTCAACTTTGATGTTATTCGGAATTTCAATCTCAGTTATTGATTAAACTTTCATATCCTTATTTGGAGTGGTGTTCTTATCTGAAGTTAAATTTCCTACTATGAAGTTTATAAACTTACCTTTGGTTTGAAAAATTTTCAAAGTATAGAGGGGAAGACCATTTATGAAAATATTATGCTCCAAGATACATCCGACTTTTTTTTCCAAAAAGGGTACATAAGGTCTTCTTCTTTTCCTTAACCTTGTGTTTATAAGTATAGGATATATGTTTTGAGGACTTCTGCTTTAATGAATATAGTTGGGTCTATAATTAAAATTTTTATAAGAATACTATTGAGTATTGAGTATTCTATTGGTCCTGGTGTCTGATTGAATTTGTCTTATATGATGAAAGTGTTGAAGATAATTTGGGTAGCCCATGTTTCTTTCCTCTGATCATGTTTTTTAGCTATTCTGACTATTGTATTGAGGATGTGTAATTCTCTTTTTTTAGTAATTTGTATAATTCTCCATTCCTTTGTCATATTGGTCATGTGTAAAGGAGAATAAAATACTGATTCATTGTTTTGTTTATCCTTAATTTGTTTATTTTTTTATATTTAGCAAGATATGTAGGGTTAATTGTTTATTGTCTTGTTTAGTGTCTTGTTTACTTAGATGAGTTATTAATCCTTCCTGTTTAGTTCTATTTATTTATTGAATTTGATATTGATATCCTTTATTATGAAAAATAAGTCATTTTTATATAAACACTTGATGAATCTTGCTATGTTGTTTTGATGTTGAATTGTTTAATGTGTATGCATTTACGTAACTTGTTTTGATATTTAGATAGGTGTGTATAAAATCAGAATACTCTACTATTTAGTTTTTGAAAGTCTTTGATATCCTTCTGAGTTTTGTAAACTTTGAGTTTTTCCTGATTTATCAATAAGAACTATTGTTTGTAAAGTTCCTTCTAGTGCCTAGAAAGGTGTAAACTGACACTAGCTTGGCTAGAAGCTTGGGAAATTGATATTGGACTCTCCTAAGCTTACTGTGAATCAACTTGTAGATGTATTTTTCTTCCCTTATAAAGTAAAACTAGTGTAATGCTATATTGCCAAAACTTCTTTTAATCGATAGAGTGATCTCTTGAGGAAATGGTTGACTATTCTAATTTGTTATTAAATCTTGGATCTTTGAAGAATAAGGTGTTTTTTAGGTTGACTTCTCTTTTCCAAGAAAATTACCAAAAAAAAAAAATTTTTAAGGAAAAGGGGATCAGTGGAAAGAGTTTTTTTTTTTTTCTTTCTTTTTATTAACTTATCAATTAATAATTTTTATAATAACAAATTGTTGATAATAAATCTAAAGAATAAAGATGTATATCATCCTCTAGAAAAATAAAATATTATTCCTTAGACTTGACTTAGAGTACTTTGATGCAATGATAAGATAAAAAAAAATAATAATAATAAGTCATATCACTTGAATGAGTACAGTATTACGACTATTTACAAATGACGTCAACCTTTGTTTTATTTTTTTTTTTTTAGAAAAGAATAGGTCGCGAATTCTTGGACGATCAAACAACTGGATCAAATTCGTGTGACCAGTTAACGTTTAATTTTCCGAAAAATAAAATCGAGTCCAGAAATAAAAAAAGGGTGACATCCAATTCCACATTGCAAGTGAAAATTCGCTATCTGCTTCGCGTAAGATGGAAAAAGAGTGTGAATATTGTTTTTAAGCCATTTGCCCAGTAGTTATGGCTTCTAATGAGGCAATGTTTCAATGGCCTCCACAATCGCCAACAACTGGATTCATGTGAACCGAGAACCACGGAACTAATCCGAATTAGAAGAAGCAGTGAAATAATTTCATGTTTGAAAAGATTCTCGAGTTTAAGACATGTCAAAACGTGCAATGAGGTGATAAAAAAAAAGGTTACGCAACCCGCTGGCAAATGTTTATAAGGGAATAAATATGATTAAAAATAAGTTATAAAAATCGATCTTCTTTGTGCGTGTGAGAAATGTCAAATAATGATAATGAGGCCGTACGGGAAGTATGTTGAACGTATTTTTCGTGACTTCCTTGGCAATAAAAAAAAAAAATTCGTTATAATACTGTGTTTTTTAAAGGTGACGAAGCGAATCTCGGTTCCCTACGTAAGCAACTTACCTTTAAGAATTTTGACGCCTCTTGTCGAGCGTCTTCCCTTCGTTTCGTCGCTTCTTTTCCGGAATTCAGGTATTGGTGCCTTGAGGAATAAGTCCTTTGACGAACATTTGACGTTAAATCCGTTGCCTTTACCAAGGGAATTGTTTGAAATCGAAGAACCAAAGGTTTGTAATGCAGAATAAAACAAAAAATGAATCAATTTAATCCAGTTGTCCAAATGCCGTTTTTACGACAATGTTTGTAAACCTGATGATCTTTTCGAAATAGAGTATAGATGGGCTTGAAATTTTCAATCAAAGAAATGAAAAAATTCATTCGACTTTCGAAAATTCGGGATATTATTGCTCATTCGATTTTCGCGAAGCTTATCTTTCCAAGAAGTTGACTCCTTTACAGGTAAACGTGGGAATTAATTTTAACTTGAATTGACGCATATGAATGCGATTTAATATTGACTTTATGAAACAGGCTTGCGAAGCTTTAATTAATAGAATTGAAGATTCACATTCTATCTCAAAGTTAAATCCAACACTTGACTGCATTTGTGAGTATCGGCGGGATGATATAATTGCACAAGCAACAGCTTCAACTGCTAGATATGAACAAGATGAGTCATTAGGGCCCTTAGATGGTGTTCCTATTGCAATCAAGGTACTACGGAGTACACATTTGGCCATTTGTTGGTTAGTACACACTTGAAAATGACGTTTGATAATGTCTTGTAAAAAGGACGAACTCGATGTTCAGGGCTATGAAACTCGAGCGGGGACAAAGTTCATAAATCGCAACAATCCTACCCAGAAAGACGCATTTATCGTGAAGAGATTAAGGGATCAAGGTGCCATTATCATTGGGAAAACAAGTATGCACGAAATTGGATTTGAGTAAGGGAATTTAATTAATGTCCATTGATTTGTCGAGTATTGTTGAAAAATTTTTTGAATTCTTTTTTCTTTTCCTAAAAAGTATTACGGGAAACAACCCGAACTCCTTTACCCCTCGTAATCCACATAATGTCAAACATTATAGTGGTGGATCGAGTGGTGGTAGTGGGTGTGTTGTTGCGGCTGGATTGTGTCCGATTGCTTTGGGATGCGATGGTGGTGGTTCAATAAGGTGAGGCTTAATTTATTCGATTTGGCTTTGTGTTTCAAGAGGCACTTTTCATTCATATCTTGTGTAATTCAGAGCTCCAGCATCATTTTGTGGAATTTACGGATTGAAACCCACGTGTGGAAGAGTGTCTGCAACTGGAGAATGTAAGCAAGTTGAAGTATTAATATTTGGTACAATATTTCTTCATGTCTCATATGCTTGTAATTCTTCAGTTACACTAGGATGGTCAGTAGCTGTCGGTGGGCCTATGACATCAAGCGCGGAAGATCTCGCGTTGACATATTATGTCATTGCTGGAAAAGATCCTGAGGTTTGCAGTCTAAAATGGAATAAGCTTTGAAAATGTTAATTCATGAAATCATCTCATCTTTACAGGACCCGAGAACTCTGCATCAACCGTCACCTACGCTTCACGGCCTTTACTTGACCGATAACCTTTCAGACCTAAAGATCGGAATTTTTTCGGCGTGGAACAAGCAAGTAACCAATCCAGCCATTTCCGCTGCGATTAAGACATTCGTCGATGGACTGAAACTTCGTGGTGCGGAGATTGTGGATATCGAAATTCCGGAATTGGAAGAAGCGAGATTAGGTCATTTGGTTACCATCGGCTTGGAGCATGCTGCCGCGGTAAAGAAATACGAAAATCGTCATTTGTATACCTGCCCGAATCGGATCCTTCTTTCGGTGACAAGTAACCTAAGTACTAATGTAAGTCTGATCAAATTCGGACAATTTCACAATACAATACATTTTGATCCTCCTAATGACTTCTGATCAATTATTATAACCTTTCAGGATTACAGTGAGTACAGTTTCAAATTCTAGGCAAGGACGATTTATCTCAATAGTTAGTTGTCTTATGGTTGTTTTATTTGTTTCAGTCCAAGCTCTGCAAGTTCGCACACTCGCGATGCGAAACCTCTCAAAAGTATTTTCACGCGTTAAT